ACTACAAGGGAGGGGGGGGGGGATACATAATTACATGCACCAAATTATGTAACGAGAACCGACCGGGATAGATTAAATACTGGTTTCCTAGAACATAAAGCAAACCACGGTTCAAACAGTATATACAATGTATTTACAATACATAATTAGTACATAATATACAATATTCATCACACAAAATCAGAATGGCTCTCTCTCTCACTATCAACTCGCTAACGAATGACATGTAATATGTACATATATATAACTAACTAATAATACAAAATGCCATAACGACACCCTAAAGTCTCTGTAGCTTGTTGGATGCTGTTGTGTCGTCTCCAATGTTGATGACGCCGTCCTCCCTTAGACTTGTCCAATCTCAGTGAAGTCCCCTCCAAGCTCACAAACACATATAGAATGTAGCAGGTCACACAGATCCAGCCGGTACATAAACAGGTCACACAGACCAGTCAACAGCAGGTCACACAGACCAGTCAACACTCAGTCACACAGACTTGTTGGACACAGGTCACACAGACCAGTCCACTGTACGGGTATAAAGTGTTACCCTCTCCACGGCCACACAGGTCCAGGTAAGTATATACAGTAATAGGTCACACAGACCAGCCAAAGACAAGGGTATTAGGCTTTACCCTCTCCATGACCACACAAGTACAGGTAGTTATATATGTAGGTGAAGNCGTTGTCCTTCATCACTCTTCACTTCTCCCGTGATAAGTTCTTGTTGTCAAACTTTGGTTTCTGTCTCTTGAAGAAACTTGCCATATTACCTCTGGCCTCTGCAAATTGATTAGCGAGTGTTGCCATGTCCTTGATACACTTTGGTGATCTCTCCTTTAAAAACAATTTCAAGTCATTACCACATGCTTGTAAAAATTGGTCCCTTACCACCAAATCCTTAAGTCCCTGATATGTCTTCTCTACAGCCGACATCTCCAACCACCTAACCAATTCGCTCTCCAGCCTGACAGCAAATTGTGCAAACGTCTCACCATGATCTAGTCTTCCCGTTCTGAATTTTTTCCGAAATCCTTCCTCTGTCATCTCAAATTGCTTTAATAAAGCATACTTTAACACATCATAGTTGAGACTCTCTTCGACTGGTAATCGAGTAAAAACATATAACACTTTCCCTTTTAGAAGAGCACTTAGGTTAGCTGCCCAGTGAGTTTCCTTCACCCATCTCTGTGTCGTGGCATAACGCTCAAATCTCTGCAGGTACGAATCTATATTGTCTTTTCCTTCTTCGAATGGGGGGAGTTTTGGCCCTTTTGTCGTGGCTTCTATCTGCCTCATCTCATCATGTCTGTCAACCCTAACCTGTTGTTGTTGTTTCTCTAACAACTCCATCTGTCTAGCATGTTCCCTGTTAGCCCTCTCCTCTTGATCTCTCTCCTACGCTCGTTTCTCTTTTAACATCTCCATCTCATGTTGCCTCTCAGCTTCCTTTTCATGTCTCTGAAGTTCTGTTTGCTTCAAATTTCTCTCAGAGAGTCTATCTTCTCTGTCCTTATCTTGTGTATCCCTCACAAACTGTTGAAGATCTTTACCAGTATAACCCAGGCCTTCTCCATCTTAATGAATTCTTTAAGTGGATCCATGGTGAACAACCCCCTGCCAATAATACCACCCAAATGTTCAAATACAAGTAACTAGAATTCTGCAATTAAATAGTTACCACAAATATACTTACACAAAACGGAATCCTGAACAAATGATCACTAAATATAATTTTCACTTACCTCAGATCCATTGGCGTTAGCCTCATAAGTGATTACATGGTGACCAGGTACCTATCTAACCAACTTATAGATCTATGTCTTATGCTTAAGTAAGTTAACCTCGCAAATAACCTTTCACACCTATGCCTAATGTAACTAGGAATCATTTAATCAATCCCACCGCTGCCACCAAATTATGTAACGCAATAGTAGAGATGATCAGGTTGACGCACCACTGTTGTCGCCTGCTTCTGTCATTTGGGACTAAGTTATGTTGGCTCTGGCTGACTTTTCTTAAGAGGCTCAGAATAAGTTATACGATTGGTGCGTGTGACATGATGTTTTATTGCCCCTCATGATCGCAGTATAAAGATGAGGTAGTATAGGTATTAATCACTGATCTGTTATGGACGGTGGAATGGTCGTGGCGAATAAAGTGATTACTCATTTGAAAGATACACAGGCATTGTAACACTCATGTAGTAACATTAGATAAATTATCAAAAAGGTAGAAGTTCTGCATTATTTGTGAGAATTTACCAACTCTGGCCAGAGTTTTATGGACTTCCTTAATTTAAGAAAAACAATTGTCTTTTTTTTTCTTCACTATAAAAAAAATAATTCCATAGGATAGAATTTCTGAGTTCAGCAAAATTTTCTTTACTTTTTGAAACTTCATTAATGCTTTCTTTTGGAAACACTTTTAATACGTAATTAAGGAATTTGAGTGAAGGAATGATCATGAAACTTTGGGTTAAAGCTTCATATAATATTTCATGATTCAGGTTGACTATATGTTGTTTTGACCTGCAGGAGCTAGATGAGTTTTGGCCGTATCAGGATCTGTTTGGTAACTTTGTACAGCGCTTATCTTACTGCGTGTCCCCAGAACTGATACCATTGATGGAGATCCCAGGCGTAAAACTGGTACGTACATCACTTGTATACTGAGTATTATTAAAGTAGGTCAAATGTTACAGTAAGCACAGACACAGTTTTAAAGGTGCTGATCGGGGAAAAATTTATAAAATAAATTGGTCTAAATGCGTTCTCTGGCCTTCCAAGCGTAAATTTAGCACAGATCTATTTATATATGTCACGTGATTGTTTCGAAAGTGAGGCAGTGAAGATAACAACAATAGCACGCCGTCATGTGCCATGTCGGACTCAACTAGCGGACAAGACAGCAATACTATATGTAAATAATTGTTTTCAAAGGTCATGTATGATGCAAGTGTAGTATTCCTACCTATATGTTGTCATATATAATGGTATTGATACCTCGTGCCTGTCATGACTTTTGCATGCATTTTTTTTTCTCGCCGCGATGTTTACATTTGGATTTGTTGATGATGCGCGTGCGGTAAAATTACATCACTGATCTGGGTCAAATGAGAGTTTTAGACTGTCAGGTGACGATTTAGGATTTCTTTAATATAATAATATGTCCGATAATAAAAAAAAAATATTTTAAAAGAAAACCAAAAACAATTTGGCCTAGAGGCTATGGTTCCCGCAGCTATGTTTCTTAGTGTATTTCCTTGGTGTTCAGGGGCGAGCTAAACAGATGTACAGCGTTGGATATAGGACTCTGGCACAGGTGGCCAATGCCGACCCAGAAAACCTTGTCAAGAAAATCAAACAAATTCCTCGCAAGATCGCCCAACAGATTGTCACTGCTGCCAAGGTGTGTGTATATTTTTAATTGGGAGATTTTCGTATGAATAAGAGTTTTCAAACCGGACAAATTTTGGTGACTGGTTGCTCGAAAAATCTTCCAACCGAGTAACCAGTTATTCAGTCAATATGGTAATTCAGCAATAAATAACAACACAATGAGTGTATGTTTAGTTTTGCTCTGTTTAAAACATATTTACATGTGTTTGGATTAGCATGGTAGTTAACTCGCATGTTTTAATCTCTAAACACTTAAATGCATGACACCGATATACGTTATCTCACTAATTATATATTCTAACGGTCAGAATAAGGCTGGATGCAGGGTATTGTTACTCTACCTTGTATGGGGTTATATATTAATTTTACCAGATTACCAATCATAATTTGATTTATATCATAAACTCTGTCAGAAATACCTACATCTTTTTATAATAATAATAATAATAATATACAACATTTATATAGCACCCTATATAGTTTATACACCCTTCGGAAGATGGGACGTATTATGTAATCACATACGCAGTTGATTGGGCGCGCACGGTGTCCTCTCTATATCTCAAGTAATTTTCAACGGATTAACTTCAAACTTCATAGGAAGATTATTTACCATAAAAGCTTGAGCAAGTTCAAAAACCACCATTAACAGATCGAATTGTATGGAGTAATTCCCCTTTATTCAATTGCTGAAACTATCCGCTCGATATCTCGACTAATTTGTAACTGATTTACATTAAACTTCATGGGAAGGTCAATTACCAGGAGAGCTCGGACAAGTTCGATAACCACCATGATCTGACAGTAATATATTGAGCTCGGACAAGTTTAATAATAAGTAAATTCTCTTTTATCAATTGCTAAAACAGTGTTGCTCGATAGCTTAAGTAATTTCAATGGATTGACTTCAAATTTCATAGGAAGGTTAATTACCATGAAAGCTTAGGCCTGTTTGATAACCACCTTTATCAGATCAAAATTTTCTGAAAAATGCCCCTTTATTCAATTGCTGAAATAGTGTCCCTTCAATATCTCGAGTAATTTTCAATGGATTAACTTCTTGAGGTTAATTACCATGAGAGCCCCCGACAAGTTTAATAGTCACTGAAAGTTTAAAGAAATTATTTTGTTTTGTTTGCAGATGCTTCTGAATGAGAAGGCTGAAGCTCTTTGGCAGGAAGTCGAGGAACTTGTGATGGTGCCTGAGGCTGCGTCTTCTCATCCTTCACCAGATCTATCCTCTCAGGGGTCTATAGCATCCTCAGATATACTCGCATATCTCACTGACTGGGGAGACTAGACGACCTTGTTAAAGTCCCTGTGACGGTGCCTTCTCATCCTTCACCAGATCTATCCTCTCAGGGGTCTGTAGCATCCTCAGATATGCTCGCAAATCTCACTGACTGGGGAGACTAGACAACCTTGTTAAAGTCCCTGTGACGGTGCCTTCTTATCTTTCACCAGATCTATCCTCTACGGGGTCTGTAGCATCCTCAGATATACTCGCAAATCTCACTGACTGGGGAGACTAGACAACCTTGTTAAAGTCCCTGTGACGATGCATTCTTATCCTTCACCAGATCTATCCTCTACGGGGTCTAGCATTGTCGGATGTACTTGCCAATCTAACCAACTTGGGAGACTAGACTACCCTGTGACGGTGCCTTCTTATCCTTCACCAGAGCTATCCTCTCAGGGGTCTGTAGCATCCTCCGATATACTCGCCAACCTCACCGACTGGGGAGACTAGTCCACCCTGTGACAAGAGTTTTCTCATCCCTCACCAGATCTATCCTCCCAGGGGTCTAGACCATCGTAGGATATACTTGACAACCATACTGACTTGGAAGACTAGACAACCTTGTTCGAGGTACAGTGTCTTTATATTTTTTACCAGATGTATCCCTCAGCAGGTGGGTGTCTTGGTGTCCTCAGACTTAGTTTAGTCCCCCCCCCCCCCCCCAGAAATCAACAATATTTTTATTGCAGTACCAGGCAATTGTTATATATGATACTGATATATTCTATGTAACATATTTATTCTAGACATTTTTTTTTAAAGATGTTATTTTTTACAAATGAATAAAAAAAACTGTGATTAAAAAATTAGTTCACTTTTTCTTAAAGAAATATTTTATGTTTTATACCAAACTCTTTTTATTACAAACCCCTTGAAACAAGTTTTATTTCTGCACCTTCTTCTTAAGAACTGAAAGACCAAGAATCATATTTGGCCAGCAGCTACCTAAGATGGAGTGCTATGTATTTCATGAAAACACAAGTTAGATATGTTTAAAAAAAAAAAAAGTCTTGAGCTAGAGCCATGATACAAAATGATACTACATGTATATTTAAGAAAGGCTTAGTTTTCAAATTTTACCCTATTGTTTCCAGATTTGACCTCATCTACATATACCACATTTATCCGGCGATAAGCCTATGTTTGGTCAAAAGACCACCCTTACATATTTACAGTTAGCAGTACAGTAAACTTTTGTTTGTCCGGCAATCTCCTCCTACATTTTTCGACCCATCTCTTTGAAACTTGGTATACATCATAATCATGATATGAAGTTGTGTCACCCTTAAGGTCATAGGAGTGTATTGCTAAACGGAAATAGGAAGTACATCCCTAGTTGAAAATCCAATGAAGGGAGACAGTATCACAATTTCCGCATAATCTAATGTTTAATATTAAAGTGATGAATATCGTATGCTTATTATTGACAGAACAGTGTGTTCTTTCAACATTAAAGTATTGCAAAGCAATCCAGGCATTAATTCAGTTGTTTTTTAATCAATGAGTCACATGTGTCCATTTTTCTGTACTACCTATTTCACTACTGTGAAGTTTTTCAAGAACGATAACTCTTGCATGCAATTACTATGTGTACAAATGTATATGCTTTTATTATAAAATGTCAGTTTTTAAACATTTATAGATAATTAATTGTACACAATTTCAGCATTTATGAAATTGATATACATTAATGCAATACTAATCTATGTTAGTATCATTTATATTGACATTATTTTGCAAAAAATTGTTTCAATTTTTTTTTCAAAATTCACTCCTTTTTACATAAATTTCCTTTTAAAATCCTTAAAATTCAGACAACCTATATTTTTTTTGTGGCAGAAATTTTTCTTTACTTCAAAACAATATATCTACAAAATTTGAAAAAATTCTACTGAGAAATGGCGACACAATCCTATTACCGTAAAAGAATTTTGATTCGACAATTTTTCCGAAAGTTATTGCCCTTTGTTCATTTCAGTATTTTTGTCCGGCAATATCCTCCTACATTTTCCGACCGATCTCTATGAAACTTGGTATACATCATAATCATGATATGAAGTTGTGTCACCCTTAAAAGAATTTCGATTCGACAATTTTTGCAAAAGTGATTTCCCTTTGTTTATTTCAGTATTTGATTTTTGTCCGGCAATCTACTCCAATATTTTTCGATCCATCTCTTTGAAACTTGGTATTCATCATAATCATGATATGAAGTTGTGTCTTCCTTAAAAGAATTTTGAATCGACAATTTTTCCAAAAGTTATTGCCCTTTGTTCATTTCAGAATTTGATTTTTGTCTGGCAATCTTCTCCTACATTTTCTGACTAATCTCTATGAAACTTGGTATACATTATAATCATGATATGGAGTTGTGTCTCCCTTAAAAGAATTTTGATTCGACGATTTTTCCAAAAGTCATTGCCCTTTGTTCAGATCAGTATTTGATTTTTTGTCCTGAGATTTTCTCCTACATTTTTAATAGCATGTCAGCTAACCAATCTTAGAATGATGCAGATCTTATTTCAATGTAAGAAAGTATATAACACTATGATATTCGACAGGCGTTTATTGTTCGCCCCGCGGTACTCTTGTTCATTGTCCTGTAATAAGCCCACCCCCCTTTTCCCAGTCAGAGATTCTGTGTTGGCCTCCTGGGCTTATGGCAGGATATATGGTAATATGCAATACAGGGGGGGGGGGGGGGGCTTATCACTGGTACAATATGAGACATGTAACATGCCAAAACAACCATATAATATATACAGACAAACTTGTGTACAGTTAATTTATACAAAACTACAGTATTCAACCTAATAACTTACCATGACGTTAAAAACAAGTTGGGAAATACAGCAGGCACAATTTATAAGGACAAATTTACACTTCATGTTGGACTTGCATCAGTCATTGTACATATTCGTTACTCAAGACGCCGCCGCTAACTGGGACGGTAACCAATTCATGACTCTTTGTTTAAATGATTATAACAGTTACTGGTTAAGCTCGTAATGGAGTATGTTGTTTCCAGATTTTTGTTTTGCAACTTAACAGATTATTATTAATTACGTTTCGAAGAGCCATGACATACAAAGCCTCAGATATATAAATATATAATATAAACTTATTTATTTTACAATAATTATGAAACAAGTTATTTCAACTTATATAAATCACTCTTGTTGACCCAGATGTAAGCGCGCGTAGCGTCTAAATGTGGGAGGAAACTGGAGTACCCTGGGGAAAACCCATGTGGTCGAGCAGGTGACCCTATACCTTTTCACGTCCGATCGGGGAATCGAGCCCCGGTCGCCTTGGTGGAAGGTGAGTGCGCTATCCACTGCACCACCCGACCACCCAGATATAGATCTAGGATACATGTAAAGGAACACGAGAATCTTGTTGTCTTGGATACCTTTGGGGATATGGGCACATATTAGGTCGAATATGGTGCATGTACCTTAATCATGAACGAATATTCAATGAAAATATCACACAAAATCATTCTCACTGATTTTATTACATGTGTAGTAGTATAAAAAAAACACTTTGGTGAAACTGTTTGTAAACTGCAAAATGTACAAATAAAATGTGTAACATCATTACATAACATTTCACATAATTTTAAATATTCCAAACAAAAACATTAAAATGTACAACATATATAATATACATTACTGATATCTCAACTTTTGAAAATCATGACATTTTACTTTTCAAATTGACAACCTCTTTGATGATGATAACTCAGCTTGACAACCATTGGCATCAGGATATCTCCACCTGATATCAAATGACATCAGGATATCTCCACCTGATATTAAACGATATCAGGATATCTCCACCCGATATCAAATGACATCAGGATATCTCCACCCGATATCAAATGACATCAGGATATTTCCACCTGATATCAAATGACATCAGGATATCACCACCCGATATCAAACGACATCAGGATATCTCCACCCGATATCAAATGATATCGGGATATCTCCACCTGATATCAAACGACATCAGGATATCTCCACCTGATATCAAACGACATCAGGATATCTCCACCCGATATCAAATGACATCAGGATATTTCCACCCGATATCAAATGACATCAGGATATCTCCACCTGATATCAAATGACATCAGGATATCTAAACTTAACAATCAAATGAAATCAGGATATCTCAACAAGACAAGAAAAGGTGTTCCGATATCTTAACATTATTGACAAACACTGACATCAGAATATCTGAGTGCGATAGGCAATGAAGTAAGGATATCTCCAAAGAAAAACAATGGCTGAAATTTTACATCCTCATGAAAGGGATATCTACTGATTGGTGCACTGTCATTAGACGGGCAGTTTGGAACTGCACACCAATGTTTTTGTTAATCGAATCCCGAAAGTATTTCGAAAACAACATATTGTTATTGTTTTTCAATAAAGAAAGATCTGCTTTTGTTTCATGTTAGCGACAATTGTTTTGAACCTGTAAACTCTATTGAAAACGACAAATTATACATATATTGAGCTTGACGATAATAGGGAGATCCTCATTTATGTCAAAACATTGTAACTGATGTGGAATGTTTATAGTATATAAAATCTTAGAAGATATGATATATATATTAATGTATAACCTTGTGTATTACATCTCCCTCTCTCTCTATTTCTCTCTTCCTCTCTCTTTTCCTTGGGAACATATATATTTTTAAGTGCAGAATTTAGTTGAATATATGTTTCTACATACATACCACCAGACAATATAGTATTTCACCAAAATTGTTACTACACTTTCTAACACAATATTTCCACTAATTCATTTGTCAAGTACAAAATTTGTTCATTTCCATAAAGGATATATATTTAAACATAAATAGTATTATGCTTGGTTTTGAGTTTGATCTAAGAACAACATATAAAAGGGAGACAATCTACATTGTCCTGTAAAAAATGGGAAATGATGTACATGTAGGTTGCTTCCATGTTACTTCATACTCTGATATTACGAGTAATACATGTATTTAAATGAATCTGATCGTTGGATAAGTTTTTAGTTTGTACATGGAATTCGTTGAAAATAACTTTTTTAACCTTGGCATTCAAGATTAAGCACCATAATGGAACATTGTTTGCCAAATGCAGCATCCTTATTGACTCTGACTTTTAGCATGATTAGCAACTTGTCTCGCTTTCTGAATAGTTGCCAAACATTTTTCTCGTCGCACCATTTTGTTTCCATCAAACTGACCCTCATTTCTTGGGATGCCGTGTGTTCCATCAGGAAAGGTCACAATACCTGTATAATGAGAACAAAAGTATCATGGTGAAAAATATAAGAAATGTAATAGATTTAGGATACAAATATTAAAGTTACCCATTCTCCAGAGTGGCCCAAATTTATATTTCTGAATGCTCTTTTCTTCACAGACAATCAAACTGATTTTATATTATTCTGTTTTTAAGTTAAGTTTATTTTCTGATACAGGATCTGTACGATCCTATACACCGGACTCTGACATATTTAACCCTTTCACCACTGTAGACCAAAATGGACTCATCAAGATCAATGCATGGTAGAGTATACTAAAGTTACATAGGGGTGAAAAGGTTAAAAAAAACAAAAAAACAAAAAACATAATGTACACCTATCTGAAAGTTTGGTAATGGTCATCATTTGTTTAACCTAGTATGTGTCTGCTGTGTAATTATGATTATTTGTTGTTATTGCTTTTTTTTTTTTTTACAAAATTAAGGTAGATATCTATCCCATGTATTGTTTAAGTAGTTTTGATTATTAAATGAAACGGAAAATTAATAAAATTTCAAATAATTATATAAACAAAAATACTCACCTTGACCACGGATCTTGCCGTCTTGAAATTCACCTTCAAATTTCATCCCATCACACCTGAAGAACGCTCCCAATCCACTGAACTTCCCTTGCTGAAACTCTCCTTCAAACCTTAAAAGAAAAAGAAACAAAATAATATATGCCTCAACACACCTAAAACACAAGTTAGGAAGGCTATTAGAATCAAGATTTACAAAAGATAAACCCAAATTGACCCTACTTTTTCAGTTATCTTGAATGCATAAGCTGTTGGGCTATACCATAGGTGTTGTAACATGCGGGCGGTCACCCATACAACTACTGACCACGCTCGATGATGCTGAACTATAGTGAGCGGGTCCCCGGGTTATACTGCATTACTGGAAAAGCTAGCTTGCCAGTAAGGCAGTATTTCCCCTCATTTATCTTAGCTGTTACATGTACACTATCCCCCCCCTCTCCGAGAAGACTTGTCTCGAGACTTAGCCTTGGGAATCCTGTGGGTCTTCCCTTTGTATCAATGCACAATCCCTAACCACCGGGAGCTGGCCTGACATGATCACAGAGTCACTATGCTGCCACCAAATATAACATGCAGGCGTCACCCTTCCAACTACTGACCACGCTTGACGTTGCTGAAGTAGTGAGCGGGTACCCGGGTTATACCGCATCACTGGAAAAGCTAGCTTGCCAGTAAGGCAGTATTTTCCCCTCGTATTTCTTAGCTGTTACAGTGTCAACTCTGAAACCTTCAATTAGGGAGATCTCCCTCATTCCACATATCCAATGAGGGAGAAAGAGTGTAAAACACGACTGAAACTGCTTTGTTCAATTTGTCTTTTCATGTATCAAAATAACTCCAAAAAGCATTCATTTGATTCAGACACACCTGTTATGATCATTACACACACCCTGCTGTATAAGTAGGAGATCACTTGACCACAGGATGTAGATTGTTGAGTTTGTGTGAGTTTGGAATGAGGAAGTTTTAAGGGAGATGGATACATTTTGGTCAAAATGAGGGAGTCTCCCTTCTACTGAGGAAGGGTTGACGACTAAACTATGCTCACCAGCTAAAAATGCAAAGTATTACCTTGAATTATCAGAAAACACCATGACACCGAGTCCCTCACATAGTCCGTTCACAAACTTCCCATAGTACTGTGCACCATCTGGAAATTTCATGTGACCGTATCCTTCACGCTGTCCATTGTCCGACCACTCCCCATTGTACTCGCTCCCATCTGGATATTTATATGCGCTTTTCATGGTTGATTAGAATGGCTTAAACTTTCGAAATAACTGCACACTGAAAATGACAATACAGAAAAAAAATATCAGACAATGGTTAATTTAAAGATAGAAAATCTTTTTTCAAAGAGCATAAATCACTTAACTTCTTCTTTATATCGTTTTAAAAAAAGAAGACACTAGCAGGTTTATAGACATTTTATTTGCTAGTCCATATCACTAGTTAAAACATAATAATTTTAACTGATGTCATGAAGATATGGTAGAAAATTTTGATAACTATCATGCAATATAAACTATCTGTATTTTAACGATTTTTACCAAAAGGAATATTCTTAAAGCTTTTTATTGTGATAACATATGTTTCAACAAGTCCAAAGGACCAGATAGATTAGATAATTCACTAGACCTTGCTTAAATCTACTAGTCTCGGACTAAAGGACTAGTGTTAGTGTCGAAGCCTGGACTTGTGTCAAAATTATTTTGAACAGTGAAATTGAAGGTAGTGGGAGGCAAGCAAATTGGTCTTATTGTATTCTAAACGAAAACACTGGAATACTCCAATATTAATTACTGTAAAGTTGATCATTTTTGCGAGGGGTTTTAATTTCACAAGAATTTGCGATCACCAAGATAGCGCAAAATAAAGTACCCAGGAATATAAACACCTCAAAGGGGATAACAGAAAACATCTGTTTACGCTTTTACTTCTGAATAATGAAGATAAATCAACAATTCAGTATCGTATAATTTTGTGTTATTTCAATATTTAAAACACTTGTAAAATGAATCCCATCACCAAAACACAAAAGTATCCTTGTGAGCGCAACATTTATACCGGACAACGTTGCACGATATTTAGTCCCCACATTAACTCTAAGCTTAATTGGGGCAGCCACGAAATATTAACCCCACGAAATGAAATAACTACCATGGTATACAGTGTATGGCTTATATCACACTTTTATACACGTAATCGCGTTTTATTAGGATATATTGGTACTAGATACAGAAAACAAATAACAATGACTGGTCATTTCCTGATCAGTCAATAACAGTTACCGGTACTTCCTGGCCCATCATTATGGTCAACAAATAGGGGCTGAAGTCGTAAATATTTTGACATCTTCAGTCGATGACAGGATACGGATGGCTTCCTGGTCGGAAAGATTTTAGAATTTTAAAGATATGTGGATAAGATTTTGACCTGGCGAAAGTCTGAAATCAAATCATACAAAGAAACGATTTTGAATAAATACAAAATGTACTGGTGTATATATACATGTATATGTGATAGTGTATCAGTCGCAGGGGAATCGGTGCAGAAGCTATAGGAATAGGATTTGGTATGGACCATCGTTTAGCCAGAGGAATAGTACAGTCTTGTAGAAATAAATTGTATGATACTATTGAAATAGTTAAACTGTAATGTTCTCATTAGGTATTTACAATACCAACATTTTGTAGCAAACACATGTAGATTAGAATATCTAAGTTATGCCCATATCAGGTTTTGTTTTTGGTAAAGGTGTAAATCACAACAACATCAGAGGTTTTTGTTTGACAAGGTAACACAGGAGAATGACCAGGTAACACTGGAGAACGACCAGGTAACACAGGTGAATGACAAGGTAACACTGGAAAATGACCAGGTAACACTGGAGAACGACCAGGTAACACAGGAGAATGACCAGGGAACACAGGAGAATGACCAGGTAACACAGGGGAATGACAAGGAAACACAGGAGAATGACAGGTAACACAGGAGAATGACCAGGTAACACAGGAGAATGACATGGTAACATGGGAGAATGACAAGGTAACACAGGAGAATGACAAGGTAACACTGGAGAATGACAAGGTAACACAGGAGAATGACAGGTAACACAGGAGAATGACCAGGTAACACAGGAGAATGACATGGTAACATAGGAGAATGACAAGGTAACACAGGAGAATGACCAGGTAACACTGGAAATGACCAGGTAACACTGGAGAATGACCAGGTAACACAGGTGAATGACAAGGTAACACTGGAAAATGACAAGGTAACACTGGAGAATGATCAGGTAACACTGGAGAATGACCAGGTAACACAGGAGAATGACCAGGTAACACAGGAGAATGACCAGGTAACACAGGAGAATGACCAGGTAACACTGGAGAATGACCAGGTAACACTGGAGAATGACAAGGTAACACAGGAGAATGACCAGGTAACACTGGAGAATGACAAGGTAACACAGGAGAATGACCAGGTAACACTGGAGAATGACCAGGTAACACAGGAGAATGACCAGGTAACACAGGAGAATGACCAGGTAACACAGGAGAATGACAAGGTAACACAGGAGAATGACCAGGTAACACTGGAAATGACCAGGTAACACTGGAGAATGACCAGGTAACACAGGTGAATGACAAGGTAACACTGGAAAATGACAAGGTAACACTGGAGAATGATCAGGTAACACTGGAGAATGACCAGGTAACACTGGAGAATGACCAGGTAGCACCGGAGAATGACCAGGTAACACAGGAGAATGACAAGGTAGCACAGGAGAATGACCAGGTAACACAGGAGAATGACCAGATAACACTGGAGAATGACAAGGTAACATAGGAGAATGACAAGGTCACACAGGAGAATGACATGGTAACATAGGAGAATGACCAGGTAACACAGGAGAATGACCAGGTAACACAGGAGAATGACAAGGTAGCACAGGAGAATGATCAGGTCACACAGGAGAATGACAAGGTAACACAGGAGAATGACAAGGTAGCACAGGAGAATGATCAGGTCGCACAGGAGAATGACAAGGTAGCACAGGAGAATGACCAGGTAACACAGGAGAATGACAAGGTCACACAGGAGAATGACCAGGTAACACTGGAGAATGACCAGGTAACACAGGAGAATGACCAGGTAAGACAGGAGAATGACAAGGTAGCACAGGAGAATGACAAGGTATGTAAACCTGTAGAATGACCAGATAAAACAGGAGAATGACCAAGTAACACTCAAGTATGACAAGGTAACACAGGAGAATGACCAGGTAACACAGGAGAATGACAAGGTAGCACAGGAGAATGATCAGGTCGCACAGGAGAATGACCAGGTAACACAGGAGAATGACAAGGTCACACAGGAGAATGACCAGGTAACACTGGAGAATGACCAGGTAACACTGGAGAATGACAAGGTAACGCAGGAGAATGACATGGTAGCACTGGAACATGACCAGGTAACACAGGAAAATGACCAGGTAACACGGGAGAATGACAAGGTAACACAGGAGAATGCCCAGGTAACACTGGAGAATGACGAGTTAACACAGGAGAATGACATGGTAGCACTGGAACATGACCAGGTAACACAGGAAAATGACCAGGTAACACGGGAGAATGACAAGGTATGTAAACCTGTAGAATGACCAGATAAAACAGGAGAATGACCAAGTAACACTCAAGTATGACAAGGGAACACAGGAGAATGACCAGGTAACACTGGAGAATGACGAGGTAACACAGGACAATGACATGGTAGCACTGGAAAATGACCAGGTAACACAGGAGAATGACCAGGTAACACAGGAGAATGACATGGTAGCACTGGAAAATGACCAGGTAACACAGGAAAATGACCAGGTAACACTGGAGAATGACAAGGTATGTAAACCTGTAGAATGACCAGATAAAACAGGAGAATGACCAAGTAACACTCAAATATGACAAGGTAACACAGGAGAATGACCAGGTAACACGTGAGATCGAATGACCAAGTAACACTTCAGATCGAATGACCAGGTAACACTTCATATCGAATGACCAGGTAACATGTGAGATCGAATGACCAGGTAACACTTGAGAACAAATGACCAGGTAACACTTGAGATCGAATGACCAGGTAACACTGGCGAACGACCAGGTGACACAGGAGAATGATCAGGTAACACTGGAGAATGACCAGGCAACACAGGAGAACGACAAGGTAGCATAGGAGAATGACCAGGTAACACAGGAGAATGACAAGGTAACACAGGAGAATGATCAGGTAACACAGGAGTCTCAATGATCAGGTAACACAGGAGGATGGCATGTGCAATGTAACCCTGGAGAATCACTAGGTATTCTTGGAAATGGCAAGGTAATACAATGTATCAGGTAAAAATACGTTGTATTATCCACCTCACAGCTGACAATATAGGGAATAAACAATTGACAAAGACTATAGGTTAGCATGCATTCAACCATTTCCCTCTTACCTTGAAAATTATTCGGCGGACGAAGAATCTCCTTGTCTTCTATTTTACTTGACCATGTGTCACCTGAAGTAGTTGGCTATTATGTACAATCGTGACGGGTGTGGTGTTGATTGCAGGTGTTTATATTTCTTCCGTGATGCGTACTACGTCACAAGAACATGTGCTTCCTGAGGTCATGACGTAGCATTGTATACATGCAACATGGTCGATTGTGGGAATATACGATGCGTCCAAGAGAGAAAGTCTTTCAAGAAAGAATTGTTGTCTTGGAGTAAAAAAGTTCCCATCGCCGTCGGTAAGTACATTTTAAAACATCCTCGTCGTCTGAAATCATTCATTTGTCAGGCTAAAATCGTTTAATCCAATGACACGGTGTCGGATCCATTGTCAAAATTTGTTCCTTTTAGCTATTCTGTCAATTATCCACTCCCCCCTACAACGAATGCGACAATCAACATTAATTTGTTTTCCATTTATTTTGGGTTAATCTAAAACCAAAACATTGTATTTAACCTTATGTTTATGATTAGATAGCTATTTTAGTATAAAGGTATTTCTTTTAATGAGCTTTCGTCCAGGTAAAAATCGAGATAATTGATTCAGCATCCCAAATATACAGTACCCGCTGAGGAGCCTGATGTAGTGATCGATGACGTCGCTGTATATTACCATAAAAACATAATTAAAATATTGATCCAGGTTTGATACGAGTAACGTATTTTATGTTTCAAAATGTTTCCAATTAAATCGGTAATAAAAAAATAGATGAGGATGAAGTGCAGAAAAAACATATGGTTCACATTTGTGAAGATACTGAATGCCAAAAATGGACGCTGTTGAAAATTATTGATCGAATGACAAACTCATTGTCGCACGCCGGTTGTTGAGCAGTTTGGCTGTCGTGACCTTCTGTGGAACCGAAGCAATATGCTAATGAGTGTCAATCTCCGTAAATGTATTGATTGCCTTACTATATGGACAAGATAGGTAAACTGTTTCCATGCCAAATTATGTGAATATTTTGTTCCTGGTGCAGAATTTCAGTGCTACTGTACTGTATATAATATGCAGTAGATATATATATGTAACAGTGACCTCTATTATATTTTCTGTTAATATTTATATGTTTATTTTAGCAGTATATTTAATTTACCAAAAGTGTTAGTATACATCCATGTATAGATTTTTCCTTTGATTAGTTTTGTTAGAAATTTTTTTTTATTGTTTATTTTTTTTGCCAAATATGATTTTTATGCAATAAATGACTGTCTTATAAATGATATAACTAAAAGAAGCAATAAATTGGATTATACTTGATTTTGCTTTGAAATCAGCAACCGATGGTTAAGATGATGATGATTGTCAGATAAATATACATTAGATATATATTTTAATGTTTTTGTACTGTACCAAATATTACTACACGTTAATCACTATTTGTGATAATTTTTGTATTGTAGAAATCAAATTTCAAACAACAATAAAAAAAGTATCAGAAGTTCAAACTTCAATTTGCTGGATTGATCTTTCAAAAATCGGCATTAAAATCAGAATTTGGGTTTTATGAAGAAAAAAATGCACATACCTTAAACTGTTGGTGAACACTATTAAACATTGTATTACACTGTTTAATTTTACAGTGTTCAATTTTTCCCATCTGCAAAACTCCACAGCATTGATTAATGTTGTAAGCAAGTGAACTTGATCACCCCTGAGGACACATTTTAACTCCTCAAATTCAAAAGGCTGGAGTAGTTCATTATGGAATTTCAGGGGTGAATGAGTTAACGAAGTGAAACCTGTTTGATTGCTACCTAAAGAGGAAGAAATTATATGGTCATCATCATTATCTGTTTTAAATTTCAATTCCACCTACAATATTTGATGTAATTATATAATGATGCATGGTGCCATGCTTGATTGAGGTTATACCTCCAGAGATTTTAAAAATATAACTCAAATACTTAGGCAAACGAAAAAATGTATGTTTCAGGTACCTCGACAGACTGTTTTTGTATGTACTCCGACCGACCCTAGTTTTTGCGTCCAACCCATTTTATTTCACTCAAACATAATACACCAAGTGATGGAATAACTTGTCCACTGGATGCAAATAAATTAATGGACAAACAAACACTAAGTTCTTGGCAACTATATATACCCTCTCTTCTTCATAGGCAGGTATCAAAACCAAATTAAATTCCATCATATTATTTAAAGGCCTAAAAAATGCGTTGTCATATCTGTAATCTCTAAAATTCTTAAAAAATTAAAAAGAAAAATAATTAAAAACTAAATCCTGGCCGACATACCCAATTTTTTCAGTCATGTTACCTGAAACAAGTAAAAAAAAATATTTTTCTTTGTTTTTGACTTTGCAATTCCAAGAAGTCGTCTTGGTTTTGTTATAATAAGACCAAAATGGCCTAGTATAGTATATTATCTACAAGCTGACTGGCTACCATGGAACATAATATAATGAGACAGCGACCAATGCTTTCCCTATTGCTCTCCGGTTTGACCTCTTTTTATTTTTATGGGAGTTAATTTCATAATGACATCTTTCTTTTTGTTTTGGTATTTCCTCAAAACTTACAATGTTCACAGGGTTTCTAAAGATGTCGGTTGCTGGATACGATGGACAAGCTGCAGGGAAATATGCTATTGCTTTGTGTGAAATGAAGGTCAATGTTTTTTATTATGCTCACGAGAGTTCCTCATGGTTCTGTTGTCTCTACCCGAATCTCGATGTGAGGACATGCCGTTACTGGGATTTGACCTAGATTTACATGGCGTGTGTTGTCGATGAAGCAGAGCTAGGACGCTTACCTTTTCATTTGGTCCTCCATGTAAATCTTTCCTTTGTTCATATCTTGTCCTAGTTTTATCAATTTTGAGTTCAGTTTATGGTTTTGTTGACGTTTCGTTATTCTATTGTTGTTTTTTGACCAATTGTTGTCTTTCCGCATTAACATTGTTTTTGGATCTTATTCACAGGTGTTGACTATGTCCTACTTTTATTTCTTGACTTGCTTTTCCAACTGATCAATTAAAAATAGATCATAAGATGTTGTCACACAAATTTTTCGACCTTCTATAATTTGCTTTTTGAACTAGAGACATACATGCGTGTCTTATGTGCTTCTTAAATTTGTCAAAGTGAAAATTAATGAGCCACATGTGATGCAGTGTCTTTTCCAGGTTTGAAAAAAAAATGCTGGGCATTGATAGTGTGATATTGGCAGCATATAGAAATTTATTGCGGGATGTGCACATCTGGTCAGTCCTAAATCTGTTTCAATATATGATGCTACATCATTGATTCCCCTGCGTGCTTTGATATTGGTAAAATCAAAATATTTCCGAAATGTGGGTTAAATTACAGAAATACTAATAACATACAACATTCACGCCAACAGACTCAGAATGATAAAATCTCAAAATTTCTATAAAATATTTTTGATAGGGACATGTTTCCAGGTCAGTTGGGTTTTAGTAAATAATCAATATTTTGTATAAGGCCTAGGCCTTGTTGTCATGTTTTAGTAAAATAAGACTTACAGTATTATTTATTGATGAAAGGGATATTGGTAGATTTCTGTGCTAATTTTCAAAATGATATATAGGGATTGAATGGATTTTAAATTATAGAAATACTAATAACAACATTCAGGACAACAGACTCAGAATGATAAAATCTCAAAATTTCTATAAAATATTTTTGATAGGGACATGTTCTCCAGGTCAGTTGGGTTTTAGCAAATAATCAATATTTTGTATAAGGCCTAGGCCTTGTTGTCATGTTTTAGTAAAATAAGACTTACAGTATTATTTATTGATGAAAGGGATATTGGTAGATTTCTGTGCTAATTTTCAAAATGATATATAGGGATTGAATGGATTTTAAATTACAGAAATACTAATACATGTAACAACATTCAGGACAACAGACTCAGAATGATGAAATCTCAAAATATAGCAGTAGCTGTTTTGATAGGGATATCTTCTCCAGGTCAGTTGGTTTTTAGCAAATAATCAATATTTTGTATAAGGCCTTGTCATTTTTCAGTAAATTAAGACTTGCAGTATTATTTATTGATGAAAGGGATATGGTAGATTTCTGTGCTAATTTTCAAAATGATATATATAGGGATTGAATGGATTTTTTTTCATGTACATTGTGGCAATGAATAGCAGTAGCTGATCTACATATCCTGTGGAGTGTGTTAGCGCTCCTCAGAAGATACGTCTAGATCAGCTACTGCTATTCATTGTCGCATGAAGATCAGCTACTGCTATTCATTGCTGCAATGTACATGAAAAATAAATCCATTCAATTCATATATTTACATTACGATGAGCTACAATAAAAAAAAGTTACCACACTTTATGTAAATTTGATATTTTTGATATTAGTATCTGTACTATCAGACAGAAAACCGTAACAAAGGAACAGCTAGAACTCCAGCCTATACACAAACTTCAAATGTTGGACTTCTGCCGATCAGCTGATTTTGTTGAAACGAAAATATATGTATCTAGAATCTAATTATTATCAACACTTAATAGTCCTTTCATTGTTGAAAGTTGATCTTATTTGATGTTTTTTGCATTAAACACAGCATATTATATATTTAAAAAAGTTAATGTCCCCACTATTTCAAATCATCGGTCTCCATAGTAACCATCGAGGACACTTGGCGGCCTAGAACCCGTCTGCAGTAGGCATAGAGCTCATTAAAAGTTAAATGTTCAGCCGTTGAATGTGCTGTTTACCAAAAAGCTGCAGATGTAAATGATGATAGGTTGGTGGATGAAGTGCCCTGTGTCATTACAAAGTTTTGTGAGTTTAATGTCACGGGATTACCCAGCCGGACGTGTGGTTGTTAGAAAGTTCGTGACCACGAGGAACCGATTGCGAGTCGGAAGTCAGTATTTAATATGACAATATTATAAGTAATTTTTTTTTTATTGAAAATTGAACAGAATAATAATAGTACAATGGTGCACCATTTATGATTTTTGTAATGTTTATTATTATTCCTGGCAACTACATGTGTTATCTCGGAGAAGGGGAGATGACTTTTCTCAGAAACGGTATCATGTGTAGTAAGTAATATGAAGTGGTCATTGTGTGTGAAATCAGCTGATCGGTTGCACGAGAATCGTTGTATTCATAGTGCATTCATAGTCTAATGGAAGTTGTTTTCATTTGGTAGATTCATGTGCAGAAAAAACATTAAGAATGTAAATATATATGTATGTCTCTTGGAAGTGTGCTGTTATTATAACACATGAATCTGAAAACTCTAAAATGTCTAAAAGGAAATACTATTTCAACTTGCAGAACACAGCTATCGTTGGATATGTTTAACAAGACATGAAGATAGTTTTTACCATCACAAAATTTGTGTGGTATATTCATAGGTCTATGAACTGCCAACAAAAAGTAAAGTTCTTAAAATTCAGGCGTGTAGAATATTAATGCTGTTGTCGTGAATTCGATGTATGTTATTTACACACCGTCACAACAAGTAGTTGTAAATGCTCTCAGCTCCTGAAATCAAAGACAAGGTGGAGGAAAATCACTCACATGTTGTATGTTCGATTCAAGATGTATAAGAGACCGCGCCGAGATCTAGATGTCACATCCAGGTTGTCGGCGCGGTTATCGGTCTAAGGGAGATAACTCTAACAAAAATTCACCACACTGTTACGTGTTAGTAGATAAAAGCTATGCTAAACTTTATCATTGTTTGCATGCAACACAGTAAACGGTTCTGCTGAAATATTATTCATAAACTACACAAAATGGCAGAAATTCAACCCAACATAATATGTGCTGTGATTTTTCTTCGTACTGCATTCATAACGCATTGGTACATTTGTACAACAATTTCACAAATAATATATTGTTTAAATACAGTTCAAACATTGCTGATTCTACATTAAAATGTTTAAAAAAAAATAATGGTTTCAAACCCACATGACATTGCTGTGTACCGTATTATATTAGGGACACACTTATATCACACAGAGAGAAGGGTAAACCTCTTGTCAGTTCAGCCCAAATCAAATATTGCCAATTCTGTTTGAAAGATACGAAATTATAGCTGCTTGATTTGAGGAAAGTTCAAACGGCCCAAGGCAGCAAACTTGACTTGCTGCTTCATCAGCATTCAGCAAAAATCACAGCAAATAGTCATATCGCCGATGTGGGACTACAATGGCCTATTACAATACAAATTCACAAATCTGTCACTGCATAACATCAGATATGTCATTCTATTTACTTGCATGTTCAAAGTAATCGATTATCAAGTTCATTGTGTTGTTACGATACACAAAGTGTTGCAATATGTTACCATATATATATCGTTGTAGCCCTACCCTAAAGAATAACAAAAAAAAAATAGGTGGTCATACTCGCAATTTATGTAAACTATTGTGTATTTACAGGTAAGAAAGAATTGCAGAAGATTTAGGCAGCCAGACTCGCATCTTATGTAAACTATTGTGTATTTACAGGTCTAGAAAGAATTGCAGAAGAATTAGGAGGTCAGGCTCACATCAAGGAGCTGTTATTGCCATTTAATGGTAAGTTAACTCATTTGGAAGCATATTCCGAGATACAAAACAGCAAAACATATATATGGCAATATGCTGCATACTTATAAGCTAAAAAATAAATATTGAAAAATGAAAATCAAGAACTTTATCTGCCATGTGTTTGGTCAGTAGCATGCTCGGATGAAGGGTTAACAAGCTTGTTCAATTGAAGATATAACCCATATTCAAGATCACAGGGGTCATGTATGTTAAAATATTCTAATAACTTCTTTTGAACAACCACAAATGGTTTTTTAAAAATCTGCAAACAACTATTTGTCAATAAGCAAAGAGCCCAAAGTGATGATATATGAACATGCAGTAGCCTGCGGGTATGAAGGGCTACCAATGCATGTTTGCTCAACTGAATGACCTTGACCAACTTTCAATTTCACTGGTGTGCAATGTTTAAAAAATCTTCAAACAGTATATTCTCAATAACCAAAATGTTCAGTGTGATTACATCTGGCCAGTAGCATGCTGGGATGAAGGGCTTCCAAATTTGTTCAAATGAATGACATTGATCTCCTTTCAAGGTTGCAGGGGTCAAATATGTTAAAATCTATAAAAAAAAATATCTTCTTCTTTATACCCAAAAGACCCAGGGGGATGATATCTTGCCATTAGCATACAGGCCCAGTATGAAGGGCTATAAAGTCTGCTCAAATAAATGACCTTAATCTTGGTTTTGTCTAATATATTGGTAGTGTTCGAGCTTTCTTAAGATCAATGACATTGACCTAAATTGGTAACTGACACTTGCTATGAACTTTCAAGGTCACAGGGATTTAATGTTTTAACAAATCTCAGACAATTTTGTCTTAATAATCAAAAGACCCATGCCATGCATCCTATGCCCACTTTCAAGGTTACTGGTGTGAGATAAATACCAGGTGAGTGATTCAGGCCCATTGGGCTTAGCTTCTTAAAATCGTCTAAAAATATCCTGACATAAATATAAATAATTATATAATATCGCTTTTCCTTATATACCATGTTTATACTTCTTAAATAAATATTTCACCTTTCAATGTAGAAACAATTTAGACTCCTTGTCCTGATGTTTGGGCAGTATTTTTTCAATTTTGCAATCCAATTAAGTGCCAGTTATAGTTTATAGACGATAATTGCTGAGTGGTTTCAAATGGCCATCCCTCTATGGTTAATGAAGGTTCCCGGTGCGTTCCAAATATTGGGAAACAGTGACAGCCATTTTGACTCGAGCAGATGATGCTGAAACGAAAATGCCAACAAGCATTCCGCCGAGTAATTAGAAGGTGGCGACCCAGTGGTACCGATTATCCTACATGGAATTGGAAATGCCTGCAGCGCTCCAGGAAGGGCTGCACGTTCGTGAATTGCACTGTCTGCCGATCAGACTTCCCTTGCAAGCATGGCAGTAGGTTTAAAATCAACTGAAATGGTACCAATTATTTATTTGATATTTTCACTTACAAAGTTATCAGGATACACCAGAATTCACCTCATAACAATTAAGAATTCTTTTTTTTTTCGGGGGAGACCCCTTGTACCCCCCTTGCAAGGGGGGGGGGGGGGGCTCATAGCCTTACCGCTACACAGCTCACACTCATGCAATGTCAAACTACACTTTAATTCTTCTTTGACAAATAATAGTGTAAGCAGGTCTGTGTATGTATGATGTACTTGATAACGTTTTGATATTTTACATCTTTGCAGACTTGGAAACTGATGAAATAGAAGATTGGGAACCCGACAGGAAGTGTTCATTCTGCGAAAGTAGGGTACAACTAGTCTTTGTAAGTACATTTATCACACAACCATTATCATTATATATAGCTTTTCCCCCTCCCAACTCGTTGGATAAACCTGCTGGAAATTGGTAACCAGTTTTGGTTTCCCACTAGTGGGTAACACCCTCAAGGTCATTTCATTGGTCACTCTTCTAATTATGACTTTAAGTAACAATGCTTGGTGACCACATCTTCCATTGTGACATCATATATTCCGTCTTTTCTTTTGCAGAGTTATCTTCTCTTATGAGCAGGTATTGATTGTTATGTCATTGGTTTGTGAGAGTAACGTCATCAATTTTTTAGAAAACGACGTAATTTTCTCACACAGACTAATGACGTGATGTCCAATCAATACCTGCTCACAGGAGAAGATAACTCTGCAATACGCAAAGACGGAAAAGTTTCATGGCAGTTGTTTCCCCGATCAAAAAATAGGAATAATGTATTTCCAAGAGAAACAATGGTTTTCTGGATATAAGACCAAAACGTTGTGGGGGGAAAAGGTCCCCAAACTCGTGATGGCTGATAATTATCACGTTATGTAACTCTCGTTAGTTAATGAGAGTAAACCTCATGACTTTATACAATTTGAAAATTAACTAACTCGAGTTAGATAAACATGATAACCAACCATCAGGAGCTGGGAAACCTCGACCTATCACATGTGTACTGTGTTATATAAGTTAACCCATTCATCCCTAATGTCACATTTGAATCTTACCAAATCAAACACTGGGCAAGTCCAGCCTAAAACTGTAGGGGTGGGTGAGTTTATACACTGGTGTCCTATGTTTACAGCAGGACATCAGAACAAGACAGCAGTATGGAAGGGTATTGAACCACTCTAAAATATAAACGTTCATAAATGTCAATATAGCGGTGATACAGATTGCTATTACCAGTAACCATTCAAGAGTCCTTTTCGGTCGATTTAGACTGCACTGTCATTTATCTATTTAACCCTTTCACCCCTTTGTAACTTTAGTAGACTCTACCGTGCATTGATCTGGGTGAATCCATTATGGTCTACAGTGGTGAAAGGGTTAAACAGCATTTCACAACAGTGACAGTGGTAGATATATGTTTTTACTTGACGGTACTCTTTTATTTACGTTAATTTTACTACAGGAAGCTGTAGAACAACTTATTGACGAAGCAAAAAATGGAAAAGGGGTCCAGGACAACGCAAGTGAGTTATTTCCAATGACAGAGCAAAAGAAGAGAAAGAGGATGTGTATGATTATATAAGTCATGATTATATAAGTCATGATAATATAAGTCATGATAATATAAGTCATGATAATAATAATATAAGTCATGATAATATAAGTTATGATCAATATAAGTCATGATAATAATAATATAAGTCATGATAATATAAGTCATGATAATAAGTCATGATAATATAAAAAATGTATTGGGATTAATCAGTTTTAAAGTATGATGAAAAAAATTAACGTAATTCGCAGTAAAACAGTACATGGTGAAACAACAAGGAAGTATAAGCATTTTACAGAAATTAGAAACAGCTAATAATCCTCAAATCTTTAGGGAAGTTGGAAGGCTGTTCCTCATAATTCTTGTTCTTATTTGCAATAGGTGGAGACTACCCTAACTAGTTCTGATATTTATAGATGTTTATTATTAGATGATGTGTAATTACAGATATTAGAAACAGCTTATGATCCTCAAATCTTTAGGGAAGTTGGAAGGCCTTTCCTTATAATTCTTGTTCTTATTTGCAATAGGTGGAGACTACCCGAACTAGTTCTGATATTTATAGATGATGTGTAATTACAGAATTGGTGACTGTATGTGTTTGTGGACTTTAATTTCCTCCTACACAGGTATGCGATATCTGCAAGAGATCCTGCCATACTGTCCCCAGTTCTACACCCAAAACATGGGGCGGGAACTACTCGCAGAACTCAAATCTTCAGGGCAGAATGTAGAAAACAGTGAACCAGACACCAACGTGCCACAGCAACCCTCCTTGGTAGAACTTAAGATCCCACATATAGTCACCCAGGCAAGGTCAGTGTGTCCGTTGAAATTATTGTTATATTTGATCAGAACTGTTTGAAAAAGTCACAAATAATTATTTCTCCTGTTTGAAACGTTTTTTACAATATATATATGTATGTCATTTTTTTCCATTGTGTAAGATATGTCAAAAGAGAATGATTAAATGTCCAATATTTTACTGTAAGAAAATGAGATATTTCAAATGACTTGCTGTCTCTCAATTTAAATATTCTCAAATTATTTTCAACAGTGGTGGCAGATAATTTCTTAATTGTGATCTCAAAATTTAGTCCGCAGTTATGGCAAGACATTTTCTTGAATAAATGAATGATTTAATTATCAAGTTATTTATCAAGTCCTTCAAGTTTCTTCACTTTTGCGGAGATTCCCAGGAATCAGCTAGAGAAGCGGTCATTAACCCTTTTCCCGCCATTCACTCATGTGTATATAAACACACCACTGCTGTGTATACAATTTGTGGTATACCTCCCACTGCCAAATAAACAACAGCTATATTAATCAAAATTAATTATCTGATTAAACCAACAATAACTTTTTATCTTTATAGAATCCAAGAAAATATAATTTTGGATATCTCGCTTACCTTTCCCGAACTACAGGTTAGATAAGCTGAGTTTTGTGTGTATTTTGTATGTAATAAAGATGATTTACATCTAATAAACAGTTTATTTATTACCATCATCTGTAAAACAATTCCAAGTTTCATAATCAAAAGTACTTAGTATTCTGTCGTAAGAGTCGTCCGTATACTGACATCAAAAAGAAGAGAGAGAAAAATGAATAGGGTCGCCGTCACCTGGAATATCTTTGTTCAAACCGGGCCGTCCCGTGAATGGGGCATTTATGGAGGTACGCTGTGTTGTCGTCGTCTTCAGGAATGTCCAGACCACGTCTTTATATGATTGATCAAAGTCAATATCTTGTACGATTTCTGCGTCACGTAGTAAATCTTCAGGTCCGAATCCCTAAAAGTCATTGTCAAATATATCGCTGATAATCTACAGTCGTTCGATTCATCTTCTGTCAGTTTGTCGTCCGCCATTTTTCCGCGCTGTCAACAAAACCTAAGCTCTCGCGGTCATGGTGGCTTAGTTTATAAATAAACTGTGGGTATCACGTAGTCGGCCAATGAAATTAAGGTATAAACGAATACGTCATCATTTCTAAGTAAAGCTAGCAGTGATTTTCTCACCGCAGTTCCGTACTTAAAACGGCAATCCCGGAATCGACATATGCCGCGATCGGCAGTGGAAGGCATGTTTTGCGGAACGACATATGCCGCGCTTGGCAGTGGGAAACTGGTTTATAAAAACGACATATGCTGCACTTGGCGGGATAAGGGTTAAGACTCTTTTTACTGGCCAAGATTTAATCGCAGGATTTGTAATAACGATATGATCAGTTGATCACTTGAACAGAATTTAATTAACTTACTTATATGTGAGTTTTTAATTTCATTTATGAATAATAACTCAATATTTTCCATGATTTGTAGTAAGCACAAGAAGGAGAATATCCCGAACTGTAAAAAGAACTACACAGATGATGAGCTCACAGAGGCTGTGTCCGAGATACAAAATGGCAAACTAGGAACAAGACGGGCCTCTGCTCTCTACGGAATCCCTCGCTCAACGCTCCGTAACAAAATATTCAAAATGGATGCAGACAAACTGACCCTGTTGCATGAGGATGGTTTGGATGATGAAGATAGCCAGGAATCTGGTATAAAATGGTCAGAGCTCATTCAGGGCAACCTTCTGCCCCTGGCTCTACCTCAACTTCCTCCGACACTCCCGTGTGATTTGAAAGAGACCAAGAAAGTTGAGACAGATGAAAACACTGAAAGGAAGTTAGACACCATCCGTAAGAAACACAACCTGTCTGGGAAGGAGGAGCTTTATTACGAGATGTATGAACACGAACTAAAAATGCCCATTTTGAAAGATATAATACGCAAACTCGCAGAGGAAAGATTAGAAATGGAGAGAAATGCCTCAAGGGTTAGAGTTTTAAAACACGACGAGATCACACTTGATGGATTAGGTAGTCTTAAGCGGCCTTCAGTTGGGAGGACTGACGAAGGATCAGAACCTCCCATCCCATCTTACCAAGATATCATCATTCCGTCCTACAAGTCGACTAGGAGTCCGATCAAGCAGGAACATGCCTTTACCAGTTCACTTGATAAGTTGGAGAACTCTGCTATTGGTGATACGTTGAAAGAAATTATCATGAAAACAATTAGTGAGAAAGTAAAATGTAAGTCCCACCAAGTGGGTGACCTAGTTTTACATAAGAGCCATCACCAGACATTCCAGCCAAACGGTGCCTCTCCTGCCAAGCAAATAAAGAAAGAAGACCACGACAAGAAGAAGGGATCGGTAGATTCTCCAGGAACTCCCGCCAAAAAGACGCGCCCCAAAAGAGGCCAGTACCGTAAGTATAATAGTCAGCTGCTTATGGAAGCAGTAAAGGCTGTGCAGCGGGGAGAGATGAGTGTGCATCGCGCAGGAAGCTACTACGGTGTGCCTCACTCCACATTAGAATACAAGGTCAAAGAGCGACACCTCTTGCGACAGAAGAAGATCAAGGAACAGCAACAACAGAAGGAAGCAGCATCCGCATCGGCAGCTACTACCGCTAAGAAGACCTCAGCCTCTGTGGATGTAGGAGTCACTGGTAGTTCCAGTGGCAGGAGTGGTCAGGGCAGCAAAGCTACCCACAGTGTCAAGGAGGAAGTGTCGAAAAAACTCGAAACGCCGGAAAAAATGGAAGGAAGCTGTCCATCGTGGTACACATCGTATTTAGTAGGTGCCTCTCACTTGGACGGCTCCCCTGGGCTAGGTTTCCCCTCAGGATTCGCCTTAAATACCCCCGCCTCAGAGTTACTGCGTAAACTTCAACACAAGGTTCAGAGTAAGTCGGATTCTTATGCCGAGGATAGTAACTACAGTAAGAGAGGAGTCGGAGCACTCGGAGATGGCTATTTCTACATAAATTAAGCAGGATGTCCACTTCCTGCCGTTCCTCTACCTGAACCCGTCTCAGCCAGCTGTTACAGGCACCAAAGTGATTCTGTTATTATTGTGGGATTAGATTTTAACTTTATCTTAATACTGCCCATGTATCTGATCTGTACCCAGAATCAACTTAAGGGAAGGGTCTGATATCATTCCACTACAGGGTATTATAGGGGGAAAACAACATATCTTCATTATCTAAATCATGATGTAATTGGTTACAATTCAAGCCTAGTCTTGTCCTGGACAGAGTGTTTGGTATTCACTGCAGTGTTTTTGTTACCTAGATTTCTGTTCCTACATGAATTGGGAAAATATAGCATTACTTGTACTGAAGTTGGGAATATATTCCTCAGTTTTTGGTCATTTTGGGAAAATAAAGCACTTTTTAGGTATGGGAAACGGCCTGTATTCGGCAGTAAAATTGAGCAAAAAAAATCACTGCACTGATATAGAAAAAAATATTCTCTGTTGAACACTTTACAAATAGGTGGGTCATGAATATTGTTGAATATCTTACAAATGTTGAACCTGTGTCGAGTTGAAAGTTTGGGGTGTTTTTTATAATATTACTGCATAATGGTTTTGTGTATGACATTAAGAAATTCCAGAACACAACAGCAATAAAATGTACGTGTGGTTTTTAGGGCGTTTATAATTAACTATCCATTTAAAGATTTAGATAACAAACTGTTGTTCCTATCACGAGAAGTAAAATGTCTGTAATATATAAAAAAAAATATGTATGAAACTGACTGATATCAAAGAATGTCTTGGTCTTGTAATAATGTCGGGTTTAAAGAGTCGAACATGTTACAACTAGGCTCATTATCTCCCTTTGACAAGCAGTGACACGCTGGCTGAGACAGGTTTTGTCCACAGGAACAACAGCCTTCAGCTGTATACCTTGCCTATCAATGCTCAAAGATTATACTTTATTAATATTCATACAGAATCTGAGAAATATTGCAGAATCTCTAAAGATGCCAGCAGGCACTCAAACATTTCCTATGTAAGCAGCAGACGTTTGTTCTTACTAAGATGCAATAAGAACTCAAAGTTATTTTATAAGATGTTGATTTTATTTGGGAGTATAATAATTGTTGCTAATTTTGCATTTATGAAATGCAGCATGACAATATGTATTAGTAGGAAACATGTCAGAAGGTTTCACAATAAAACATTACCTGGGAGTTACGTTTAGTAGGGCTTTCTGTAGACCACTGAAAGAATATTTTTGATTCCCCGAAACAATGATTGACAGCTGGTGGGTTTGAAATGGAGCATGTCTTATTAACATGTTTAACTTTACAAATTTCACAGCCAAATATTCTTCTGAAAATGTCAACTGAAAGCCCTGATTAATTGTATAAATTGTTCAACGTTCTGCTGTATCATTGTCATCTACAAAAGTTATACTGTGTTGTGTATGTGAACAACAAATACAAGATAACAAATACAAATACAAGACATTTACAACAAAGTTCTATTATTTAATACAAGACATTTACAACAAAATTCTACTATTAAATATAAGACATTTACAATAACGTTCTACTATTTAATACAAGACATTTACAACAAAATTCTACCGTTGAATACATGTACAACAAAGTTCTACTGTTCAATACAAGACATTAACAACAAATTTCTACTATTTAATACAAGACATTTACAACAACGTTGTACTATTTATTTAATACAAGACATTTACAACAACGTTCTACTATTTAATACAAGACATTTACAACAAAGTTCTACTATTCAATACAAGACATGTACAACAATGTTCTACCATTAAATACAAGACATTTACAACAACGTTCTACTATTTAATACAAGACATTTACAACAAAGTTCTACTATTTAATACAAGACATTTACAACAAAATTCTACTATTTAATACAAGACACGTACAACAAAGTTCTACTGTTTAATACAAGACATTTATAACAGTTCTACTATTTAATACGAGACATTTACAGCAAAGTTCTATTTAATACAAGACATGTACAACAACGTTCTACTATTTAATACATGTACAACAAAGTTCTACTGTTTAATACAAGACATGTACAACAAAGTTCTACTATTTAATACAAGACATGTACAACAACGTTCCACTATTTAATACAAGACATTTACAACAAAGTTCTACTATTTATATATTTAATACAAGACATTTACAACAAAGTATGTGTGCAACAGTTCTACTATGTAATACAAGTACTACTAAGTTCTTACGGGTATTACATTGTACATGACCGCAGTAGGTTTTATACCTTCATGTTCTGTCCAAAATGGTTTTTAAGAAAATAACCGATAGAAGTGTGTAACTCCCAACATTTATCATGTTATTTTGAAATGTTTGTTCAACATTTTGCTTTTTGGTGGTTTTTGTGATATATTGTATTGTAATCAGAACAACTAGTCATGCATGAATGACTGCTATTAGTGTTTTGTTTTGTGATTTGCTCTGAGGGAGTTTTTTTTTGCTAATAGTGTTTCTCTCGGGTCAATTTAATGAGAGAACTATTTGCGTTGAAGTATTGGGATTATGTGCAACAGAAGGAAATTGTTGATCTTGGTTTTCAGCCAAAAGAAGAAATCTAGACAAAACAATAGTCTGGATTAAAGCCATTATAGACTATACATGTACATCAGGTCCAACAATTATCATTCTAAAAATTGTGTTTTAAACGTATCGGCACAGGGTTATTTTTAACACAAAATCCACGTATATGTTAATGTAACAGTCTACGTCGATAAACATTTTTTATTGTTATGTATATACTATTCAGTCATATTATCAGATTGGACAGAACTCTGTCTCTTTGAATATTGAATGATAATTATCGACATTTTGACCTATTATTAGGTTACATGTAGTATTTATTGAGAATTTTTCAAGACATTATCCTTTGACGGGCTATCGTTTACCGACATATTGTCTTAAAATTTACATATTGTATACATTATATATTTAATGGATTTTGTTTTTTGATTTAAAGGGTGTTTTATTTATGAAAAGCTTGGAATAGCTTGACTCACAATCTATGTACAGTTCATAAAGAAACAATGTACATAAAGTAAATTTACTAAAGAAACTTGATACATGTACGAAATGGACCATTGGTGACAAAACATGTATCATTATGTCAGAGTTTGTGTCAAACAATGATATTTATTATCCTATATATGAACCTTATTTATCAGATCATGAAATATAATTTATTTACATGTTTTTAAAACATCCTCATCATTAATTAATTTCACTTTATGTAACATTCCATTTGGTACTCCAATTTTGTTTCCAGATCTGATTTTTATGCCTTTTATTTAATATTTTTCTTGTGCAATACTACAATACATTCTAGTCCCTATACTGGTATCTTCATCTGAAATTTAATATTTATTTCCGACAAAATGATTATGATCTGTGTATAACTATATATTTTATCCACTTTGATATAATAAGTGCTAATCAATTGATCTTTTTTTGTTTGGAAGTGGATTACCATAGGTAAATATTCTAGACAACTTCCTGTAAATTGATTTTGTGTTAATATTTTTTGTGTTTTCATTATTTATCTCTGAACAGGTGCTTGTTCATTTATGAATATTAACAAGTTTCCTTAGTTATGGGTTTTTATTGTCATTATTATTAAACAAAGTGAAGGACTTCTGTTATTTATGTAAGTTATTGTTAAAGATACTCTATATTAATGACTGCCAAATGAATCTCCACAATCTACAAAACCTACCCGTTATATCTTATGAAGGGTAATCTCAGCTTGAATCATTAGTTCATGCCACACTTGAAAAGTGCAGAGATTGATATCACTGTTTATCGTGCAGAAATTAACGATACTCCAATAATCGTGCAGAGATTGATAACCCTTTGGTATTGGTACAGAGATTTATAACTCTGGTATTGGTACAGAGATTAATAACTCTGGTATTGATGCAGAGATTTATAACTCTGGTATTGGTACAGAGATTTATAACTCTGGTATTGGTACAGTGATTGATAACTCTGGTATTGATACAGAGATTTATAACTCTGGTATTGATACAGAGATTTATAACTCTGGTATTTGGGCAGAGATTGATGACATTCCAATGTTCATTACAGAGATTCTGACAGATATTCTGATATTTAATACAGAGATTTGTAACACATGGTAGCGTAAGGGGATCCAACTTTTAATAAGAGGGTTAGTGGCCTCAGTGACGCCAATACAGAATTAGGATTTGTGATGGATTGTTTATCTGTTTTAAACTCATTTCCCCTTAAAGTCATCTTTTTACCTTACCAAATCAAGGACTGGGCAAGTCCAGTTTAGATATGTAGGGGTGAATGAGATAATCAGTAATCAGATCGGATGTCTGGCCCGTTTCAAATCTAGCAATTTCATCTGATATAGCATTTTCATATTCCAGGGGTTAAGCTTTCTGGTATTCTCTGCACCCCAGGAATTTGTCAAGGCAAAACTGAAGGCTCCGGGTTAGTTATTTGATTGGTTCAAGTAAGAAAAAAACCTGACAAATCACTCGGCAGATATCTGTCGTTTGAAGATTATAGATGGGGAAACACCTGATTTCAAAGCCGGGAAATTTTAACATTATGCTTGCTGCGATTCTTTGACGTACACCAAAGGATCAAACTAGTCTTCTCGTGTCATCCACACGTTTGAGCATACAGAGCCGTTGATTTTGACATGACATACTCCAGGGATGCATAGTGACTACACAATATTGAATGATACTAAATCAGAAAATTCACTGCCCAGCTGATGAGACAAATCACAAATACATGTTTCCCCATAGATTTTTCTGCCTATTTGTTTCTTTATTGATTTTTACAGAAATGGCATGCATGTTATGTATGAATATGTACTTAGTGTTGATTACTTCGACAATGGCGTAAAATATCAGTGATAGTTGATTTTCATGCTTTTGCATTGAAATAAATCAGGATTAAGGATTATACATGTAACCTATTTAATGGCCTCTTCCTGCCTATAATTTCTTCAAACATTTTTTTTCTATGTTTTACATAATTATTTTGACATTCCATTCAATTTTATCATTCCATTCAGAGTGCGGGCTTAAGATATTGGTGTTTTTGGGGCCAACTACTAAATTGATTCAATAGTGTTATACAATGTTGTGTCATCTTCGATACAAATGTCTAGTCTTCTTGGGTCTGCCTACGTTTAACCATGTGGATGGCTATTTTTTTGTCAAGATTAATCTCTATAAAAATATGGAATTACTGTTCAACTTTCTATCTGCAAAATGTCGTGCGTTTGTACAGAAAACAATACTGCTTTTTTTTCTGGAATATGTTAATTAGCATAACCGATATATTTTTAATTATATTTCTAAACAAGGTTTTACACAGCTAGATTAGATTATATCACACAGCTGTGATCTGATGTTGGAGGGATGTTTCTACCTCTTCCTGAAAACAGACATCATCAACATATTCGCATGCAGATACTAAATGCACTTGATCTTTGAGGGTTAATCGTCATGTTTTGTTTGTAAATAGATATCGCTGGGGAAAATATACGAAAATATGCATTCTGCCAACAACATCATAAGAGTGACTTTTCACCGTATTTTTCCTCGGAAAGACTCAATTCTGTGTCTGCAGTCAAAAGAATTACTGATTCATAAAGTTCAGTCAAGTTTCTTACAGAATTGTGTATTGTGGTTTTGTGATAAGTTTAAAAAACTGGTACAGTATATATTTATATTGCTGGTGGTGTGTTGTGTATTGCTGTGCCCATTAGTGTCTACGCTAATTTTGTGTTCTTCAGTGAAGATAAAAATAGTAAATTTGATGGATTTGTATTCATGTGTATAGTTAGATAGATTTATTGAGAAGTTAATTTTTGTTTCTCAAAATTCGGATTTAAGACATTGACCAGAGTCAGATATTACACAAAAAGTTGGGGTATGAAATTTCAAGTTATCATTTGTCTTAGAAGGACAACATTTGGTGTTTTTCCATTATATCAGAATCAAAGTATTTTTTTGTACAATGGATTACCAAGTATTTTTTTTGTACAATGGATTACCAAGTATTTTTTTGTACAATGGATTACCAAGTATTTTTTTGTACAATAGATTTCCAAGTATTTTTTTTGTACAATGGATTACCAAGTATTTTTTTGTACAATGGATTACCAAGTATTTTTTTTGTACAATGAATTACCAAATTGGTTTTGAAACTAATCAAGGAAGTAAAATCTAGCATTTGTTCAGAAACAAACATTTTAAAATCCTTGAAAAGAATACGAAGATTATCGCGGTCTTTCTTACGATATAATTAATACATGTACTGTGTGGTGTCTTGAAAATGCTTCAGAAAGCCGTCCTCTTTATTATTGAATGACATGTTATTGTTTCCTGGAGTGGGTGAATATTGTGTGGGTTTTCAGGTTATCAGTGTCTTTTTCCCAGATATAGATAATTGTTTATGTAAATGTCCAATTGTTTATATGTATATATGTGTCATTTTGTGTCGTAGATCTCATTGAAAAATATTCTGAGTTCTGTTGAACAAAACTTGATCAGCTCATGAGGGCTTTCTTGGGGGGAAAAAACTTGATCGTAATTACAAATTCTTATTCAAATAGAAATTTTCCAAAATCTTGTGCTTTCAGTGGCTTTTGAAATAAGCGTTCCTTAATTAAGCTTTGTTTATTTTTTTACATTCACCCAAGAAGACGCATTTAAATTCCTCCAATTCAACGGTTGGAATAGTTCATTATAAAATTTCAGGGGTGAATGAGTTAAATAGATCACAGTTTAGGAACAAATTGGTTGAATTGACTTCAAAAAATAGTCTACCGTTAAAAGTTAATCACATGAGTTACAAATTACTCGTCAATTAAAGTAATTATATATCTAAGGATATCAAAAATCTTTCTTTCTGGTTTTCGGATTTACATGAATTCTTCATAAAGGACAACATCATTTGAGAAACGACTTTTGGGGAAAAGAAAGTCAAGCGTTATTGTGCTTTAGAAAAAGACGATTCCATATTGTTATAACTTATCAGGCTCAGCTAAAATGTTTGTGATTTATATGTCAATTTATAGTGTGTTTTCTTTTCAAAGATTATAGAGATTTTTTATATAACATTTGTCCTTTTATGTATTAATTGTATAACTTCAGGATATAAACTGCCTTCCTGAAATGTACATCTGCTTTCCAAAAGATTTCTGATCAAATCAACGCGTAAAGTATGTTTTGTTATGAATGATATATTTTGACATGTTTGATTAAACCATGAAACACTTGGAAGGTAAACTGGAATGTTGAGATTGGTAGCTGACAGTTAAATCTGATTTATTACATACAAAATGTAGTTACAAATATGTAAGGTAGATAACTCAAACACAATAACTCGTATTATTTATAAGACAGTGTACTCAATAGGTAAATAAGAATTGTGAACCAAGAGGAATTACTTGTACATAAACATGGAGATCAAAGATATGTCTGGTTTAACTTTGTAGGCCTTTCTTTCAGTCATTAATATTTGAATTCCATTTTACAAAATTTTCATAAAACACTTTTACTTGTGAAATTTTTTTATACGATATATTTCATTGCATTTTGTAAAAAGATATGTTTTTAAATGAACCTAATCAGAAAATAATCATTAACCCTTTCACCACTGTAGACCATAATAGACTCATCCAGATCAATGAATGGTAGAGTCTACTTAAGTTACATAGGGGTGAAATGGTTAAGGGTCCTTGTTCCATTGCCAAAAACTGTTTTTCGGCATCACAATATCATGGAGAAATCCTTTCTGAAAGAAAACCATGCAGATTTTTTATGGGGAAAAAAAATGATAAAAATAAATAAAAAAGAACCAACATGTATTGAGCATAAAATAACCATGGGTCAGAGGAGGACTTGAACCCTAGTCCCCCGGTCATTATACTGTTAATCTTCCCAGTCCCTACTTACAATTATGTCTAAAACACAGTTAAGGGGAGGTAACTATATGACTCTTTCAGTAGAACTCCAGTATTTTGCCGGCAGTGGGACAGAGATCCTGCAAATATAACTCGCCTTTTCACCAAGTTTAAACTCAACAGCTGAGGTTCAAACTGATGTCCCCAAAATAGTCATACTATGTTAATCTGAAATTCAATAGAAAACCCTGAAGGTTACATTTCAGAAATATTAATTCAAGTAAATCTCAAGTGCTCTATATATATACCCTTGTGTGTGTCGAAAGACCTAGACAAGAGTCTGAAACAATAAAATAGGAATCTCGGCAATGCGAGGCTATTCAACAACTGAAAGAGTTTAAATGATAAATATTGTGAAATAAAAAGAACCAGATTATGGTTAATTTTGGGATAATTCCGCATTATAGTATAACCTAACTTTGCATGACAACTCTCCATCTTCACTCTTTAGTGTTGTACTATGGGAGAAATAAAATATTAAATCATGTTGTTGAATGTGAATTTGCATCATCTCTTGTGAGTTTGTTGGTAAGTGATAATGTTTTGGCTGAAGCTTGAAGGTTTAATTTGAGAATTAACTCACTTAAATGGATTAAATTATAAACATTCTTCGTTGGTTAGATATCAACTATATATTTATACCATGTATATATATAATTTGTATGTGACAGTGCAATATCACTCACTTCAGAAAATGTCCTTATTCCTGTTAAAAGGCTACAATTGTGTGTATCGTTTTTGTATAAGTAATGAATTCCTATTATTTTCTTGTTTTAATTAATTTTTTATTCAGTTAAATTATGTAGCATTCCATTTTCTTTTCCTGTTGATATTTTTTGTTGGATATTTTTTACTTGTTGGTACTCTGAAAGTGTTCCAGAATTTTGTGGTTGGGTGTTTGTTCATTAGTGTATTGGTATTGGTGCGAGGGTGAAAAGACTTGAGTGTTAGTTGCAAGTGTTATTGGTTTACATTGAAGTGGACAGTAATAGAGTATCTTCACCGCCTGAATTTATTATTCAGTCCACGAAGAAAAAGATCTATTAAATATTTAATACATGTCTGAACAAAATTGTCCATTTATATTTTATAACTTATTTTCTATTGTGCATTTGCTTGTTAAACTTATGTAGAGTAAGGAGGGAACCAGTAGAGCGTCAGTTCTCTTTGTATTTCAGTTTTTTAATTAAAAATATATGAATTCGAAGAATATTAAGGATCCCTGTCCCACTGCACTGCCTTTTTTCCTATACACGGTATAACCGCCCCTTAACTTCTGTTGGGATAAAACTGTAGCACATTTGGGAATGTACACATCTATCTGTTTCAGCGATGGTATGACAATCTGAAGTCGAGGGTTCGAATCCTAGCCTAGTCCCGCGAAACAATTTTGCACGCAGAACATGTTTGTTGTTTATATTTTGTGTATTTAGTCTCCATTATGTTTTCTTGAAGTCCTGAAAGGTATACTTTTCTTTTTCAAAAATGACTTATCAAAGATAGTGTTACCAGAAAATTATGTTTTGAATGCACAGTTTTAATATTTTGGCAGTGGTACGGGGTTCCTTGATTTTTGTTTTGTTCAAAGCCTTGTTATTGTTACAATTTTGTGGTAAGATCAACCACCCAATCTTGATGCAACTAAGAACTTTTATCAAGTTACACTACAAACCTTAATTTTTACCGAACAAGTGCTAAAGTTTTGATTTGAAAGGAAATTGAAACACTGACACACAATTTCAGTATTCTCAGGTATAGCATAGATATAAAATAATTAGTCAATATGATAAAGTACCAAAAAATATTTCAAACAAGAAATGTGAAACTCCTTAACATTGATGATTTGGGGATTTTTCCATCACATTGCAAGTTTGAAAATCGTTAAGATTGTAAAGCTACTGTTCAAAATTTTGTTTTTCTGATACAGCTAAAATATAATAAGAATGTCTATGATATCAAAAGATCACATTGTTGTTTACAGTAGTATACAGCTATCATTAATTCCATTGTCCCACTGTCCAGCCTGTGTTTTACGGGACAGGTAAACCTCTTTCTGCCGAGAAAAATTCAGGTCACTCAACTGATAACCCAGCCAACTAGCTGGAAATAAAGAGAATTCTGGCTCCATTGTACATTACAGAAGGTTAGGTGTGATATGCAATTCCGTATTCAAATTAATACTTATTTTAACCAGAGTTTATTCTATTTGAATTTGTATTGCATGTGAGAGTTCAACTAGCACATTCATTCAAATATAATCTTCAGTGTGTAGAGGTGTTAAAAATATCTTTGAAGAAATTAAAAAAAGCTCAGATTTTTATAATAATGGCTGACCAGCGCCTTCTGGTGGCAGAAGACATTAAAGATTGTTGCGAAAAAAGAAGAAAATAACTCATTTATTGCTTGGCTGTATCTGTCATTATTGGTATATAACTGCAAGCAAAATAAGAATAGTTTAATTCAATTATTGCCCATGTATTTCAGCTTACATATTTGATATTGTAAGAAGATTTACAAACTTGCCTGTATGACATGATTTTGTTGTCAAGACAAGTGAATTACAATAATTAAAAGCTTGAATGAAATATTTGCAAAAGTACCAATTTTGTGGTCACCAACATTTCTTATTTTTCTTCTTACAATTGATCATTCAGCAATACCTGCATAATGCTTTTTTCATCAAATGATCGAATGAAAAAAGATTCATGGACTAGAAATATAAACAGTGGTTTGGAAGTAGATTTTTTCCTTAAAAAATATTGTCCAAGTACGAAAACACTGGCACTCCGCGAAGTCTTGACTGATATGGATGTAAGATATTTTTTCACATGGGATTTTTGTATTTGCCTTGGGATGATCCAGTGTGTTTAGATTTCTGTTATGTTTGTTACAATGTCTAACGGGAGATATATATATACAACTTTTATGTATTGTACCGTGTAACCTGACTGTCCATTGTACGCTAGGGTATATATCAATGTGCGCTACAGTTTTAATGGGTACTGTGTATATGCATGAAGTGCCTTTGAGATTTGACCTGTGACACTGGTTCTATTGCTTATGTAATCATTACATTAAATATGG